TCCAATATCTTCCGTAATCAGTTTTAATGAAACTTCAAACGATCGTTAACTTTTTTATAATAAATTCCCATCTAATTAGGTGCTCTGCAGGTAAAGGAAAAATGGAGTTGTATTTGTTCGAGCTAAACAACTAATTGCTGTCCGTCGGTGCTCCGTTCATTTAACCATCTACCCATCTATCCATCTATACATCCATCTATTCATCCATCCATCCATCCATCCATCCATCCATCCATCTATCTATCCATATACCCATCCATCCATATTTACCATTCTTCGTGATTACAAAAGATAGGTTGAAAAAACATTTGATCATATTTAAGCGTTGACTGTTAGCGTTGGCTGTTTTTTCAATCGACGAATGGATGGATGGATGAATGAATGAATGAATGGATGGATGAATGGATTGATAGATGGAATGGATGGATGAATGAATGAATGAATGAATGAATGAATGAATGAATGAATGGATGGATGGATGGATGGATGGATGGATGGATGGATGGATGGATGGATGGATGGACGGATTGATAGATAGATTGATGGGTGAGTTGATTGATTGATAGATAGATTGATGGGTGAGTTGATTGATTGATGAATGGATAGACGAAATTAGGGTGAAATAAAATAGATTGAGTGTATAAATGGATAAATAAATTAACTCTGAATCAAAAACATTCCCCATCAGATCAGCCGCAGAACATTCCATCGTAATCTACTGTAAAAATTTTTCTTGTTTGAAACCGTTGAGAAGTTCTCAGAGTTCGACTTGGTTCATGTGAGGTGCAACGTTTTAGGGAAGTAGTTTCACATGAGAAATTGCAAAAAAAAAATTTTTTTTCTCAAATTAAGTGCAAACATTTTTTCATGAAAAATTCAAGTTCTATCTTTTTTCTTTAGAATAAAATATAAAAAGTTTTTGAATTCGAATGGTTTTTAACCGGCTTTCATTTTTCATGATGCGTGAACGCTCGTATGTGATAGCATGAGAGTTTATTTGAAAAAAATTATTACCAGATGTTACGATATGATAAAAGATTGCGGTTATCATTTGCATCTCGTGGTTTCATTTCATTCATTCAATCAATTTGATTGAAAATAAACTGCCACTTTTTTGTATTTTTTGATATATTTTGTGAATGTGTTTTATACCAAAGTTAAATATCAACGTTCAGTGTGCCAATGATAATTTTAATCATTTAATCATTAAATGGCATTCAAAAATATTATTAAATTTTAAAATTAAATTTTTGCCTAATGTAAATTAATGTAGAAATATTTGAGAATTCAGAAAGAAAATTTATGTGAATTTCTGTAATTTTGAAAAATCGTAAATAAATTCTAACGAATAAGCATAGTTAAAAAAAATTTTGGTTAGATTATAAAATTTAAAAAAAAACACAAAACAATACAAAACGTGATTATGATGTATGGCCCAACAGATAGATAATTCTACAAACGCCTTTTTCAATAATTTTATCAAAAAAAAACAATTTATATGAAATCACTTTTTGTATTCTTAATAAAAAATTCGTAGAAACAATACTAAAAAAGATCAAGTTTGCAATCTTAGTTAAATATTTTTGTTTGTTAGTTCGCTATTGTATCTTTGGTTTCGTCATTTTAAAATGTTTTGTTTTGTTGAAAAAAATTTGAAGTGAAATGGAATATTATTATATATTTTTTTATTATGTTTTCCATAAATCTTGCTGTTACAAAAATTTTTTAAACCAATTTTCATTTATTTAAAAAAAGCAATTCATATATAGCATTGAGATCCAACCTATAAACAATCACCTAATACAAGCTAGCAATTAATTTTGCTTAATTCATAACTTACTTAAGCATCTGATCTAAATCTAACATTGTGTTGCAATACATGCTGCGATAAAAGTGACTCACAGACCACCATCTCAATCAATAAGTAATAAACCATCTATTTGATTGATTAAATATCAATGGATTGATTTATTTGGTTGGAAGGAAAAATGAAATAATTTTTGACTCAACCGCAGTTTATTTTTTTAATCAGAAATTTTTTTTGATTCGACAAATATTTTTAGCTTTAATTTAATTTAAAGTCACGTGCTGCGTCACATAACTTTTTTATTGAAAAAATATTTCTGCGTTAGTATTTTTGAGTTGCTGTCTCAGTCGATGTCGTTAGACATCTTGATCGCGAGTCGAGACAAACGGACACATAAACGTGCTGATAAATTTTAAAAATGAAACCAACATTCATGTAGTCAGTCAGTGAGTCAGTGAAGAGCGCACGGAGAGCACGTGACTGGCGGCCATTTTGATGACGTGGACGCGCTGAGATGTGTCATTATGAGGCAGGCAGATCAAACAGGGCCCTACAATTCTCTTATCACAGACTGTGAAATCAAATTTGCATACAAAACTTTTTTCTTCCGCGCGTGCTACGTGTTCTTGTGTTCTCACATTTTCAACTGTTACACGTATGTCTTGTATGTATTATAAACGGAAGATAGATACTGTAATATATGCATGTGTGTGTGTGTGTGTTTGTGTGTGTGTAACAAGAGAACAAACAAAAACCTCAAAATAAAGTTAAAAGAGAAGGAAGCGGACGCATAATCCGCTAATGAATGAAAATTAATGAAAATATTTCGGTAGTTAATCAGCATCGAGTGCCAGTTAAATTAAAAACAAGACATCCTTTTTTCTTAATCCTCATCATCGCCATCACCATCATTCTCATCACTATCACCATCTTCTTCCTCCAGTAAACAACATAAAAGGAATTTCAGCACTAGAAATTACATTAGTGTTGTTGTTATTGGACATGTGTTTTTGTCTCTGTGTTTGTATATTTGTACATGTATGTGCTAATATGTGCATCGAAATTATAATGTAAAAATTGAAATGAGTAAATTATAGGACGGAACAAAATATGGAAATACGTAGTTAAATGTTGTAGGTGTGTGTTTTATAAGCGTTGCTGAAACTGTACGTAGATGTGAACATAGCATTGTGACAATTCGTGATCTTGCGCAGAGTTCGCTGTTCATCGTACGTATGAAATTATTTTTATTTGAAAATTTTCAAAGTTGAACTATACATTGGGATGGAGATGTGGGATTGTTTGTGTAGGCTGTAAGTGGACGGGAGGAAATTAGCGCGAGATAAAATTGTGAATTGATTTGAAGAGAACAACGAGCGACTGAGGTTATTGACGATGTTGTAATACATGGTCAATAACCATACATGGTGCTGGATGTTTGCTGAAGCTGAAGTGTGGTTATACTGTTTTAGGATAAAAAAAATAGTTAATGTGTGGACTAATGATGTCAAACTTTTAACGCATTTGGAGTTTAAACTGGAAAAAAGCTGGATTTAAAATAAATATGGCTGAATTAACTGCAGCACGCACAAACGTTCGCGTATGCCGTGTTCGCGTTCAGAACTTTTCCATCGCCACGTCATTCAACTTTTTTTTTTATTAAGTAATTCATGTTGAAGTCGGTTGACATTTTTGGATAACCACATAACCACTTTTCTACTTATAATTTTTATTACAGGATAATTGAAATTTTAGCTAACTTGAATACATCTACTCGATCAATGTTATACTATTTCTGCTTATTCTTTAATGACCTGATTGATCTACTGCGTTTGTACACGAAACAGCAGCTCTTCACTTTGTCTTCACTTGAGTTAGATATTAATTTTATCTTCTTTAAAGTATATATATATATATATATATATATATATATATATATATATATATGTGTGTGTGTGTGTGTGTGAGTGTATAAAGAGAAAGAAAGAGAGAGAGAGAGAAAGAGAGAGAAAGAGAGAAAATAGAGAGACAGACAAAAAACAAATTAATAATTTTAATTTTTTTATCATAAATAACAAATGTGTATAAAATATAGTATCTTTCGTCCAGTATCAAACGAATGGACGAGGACATAATCAGGAGGATGTGGCAGATGTAGCGAGCCACATCAATGCAGACGCACGTGTGGCTATCATTTGAGAATGTATGTGCCGGGCGATTATTATCATTTTTATTGTTTATCTATGTATATTTGTTCTATGGAACATGGCGTGATTCAGCATGTTGGTTGGGGTTTACCTGACGCCATGTATCATTCAAGTGTATGTATATCTGTGTATGTGAGTGTATATGTGCGTGTGTATGCTTGTGCGTGCGTGTGTGTATGTAATTGTACAAATTCGTGTGTGTGGGTGTTTGCGGTTTGTGTGTGTAGTAATGAATATGTATGCGTGTGTTAATACGGGAGTTTATTGTATAAGCATAATGAAGTGTGTTTGTGTTTGATCTTATCAGGTTTTTTTTATTTTGTATGTGTTTCTAAGTGCTTGGACTGGTTTTTTGACATGTTCGTGCTGGTAAATGAATCATTAACCTTGTTTTTTTGTTTATCTTTGCCAGGGTCTTTCAGCATGTGTCGAAGCTTATGTGCGGATTAATACAGAAACAGCATTTAAACACTTTGTTTTGACGTTAAATTTGTACTTTTTTTCATATTTTTTAAACCTTGAACGTTCATGTTTATATGTTGAGGAGTTGAAAAAATTTTAACCTCAAAATTGTACATTTAAAATTTGACCTTGACCTGGAGCTAATAATCAGCTTCACTACTAAATGAAATCGTCACACTATGAATGTTTCGCTTGCATCTTCTCAAACTTTTCCTGCAATCATTTCCACCTACAATTAATGTCTGTCAGTGGTGTGTGTGTGTGCTGTGAGTGTGTATATTGTGCGTATGTGCGTTAGTGTTGTGCGTGTGTATATGTGTGTTGTGTGTGTATGTTTGTGTATTAATTTTCAAATTAAAGTAGCCAAGGTAAAATGATAAATTTTGAACAATTAGAAAGAAGAAGAACCAACGAAAAGAGCAAAAACCAAAAAAGATAAAGTATAGTAGGATGACCTTGTACTGTGCAGTAGCGAGTTGAAATAATCATTTTACATATTACAATGAAAAAATTAAAAATTATAAAGTTTTTGTCAAGTTGGTGTCATTTTTTAAAGATTCAAGCTTTGCAGTGAATTATAAAATGAAGCAGTTCATGCGGAATTTTAATGTTACGAGTGTGGCACTATAAAACGGTCGTGGCATTTTTGTACGTGAATGGTTAAACGTTTATTTCTGTTATCTAGATGACTATTTATTGAAGTTTTTTAAATGAATTTTACGATATCTTTTGATGTTTATTCAACGAATGAATGCCCGACGAAATGTTTGTATAAGCAACAAACATGTCTTCATGTAATTATAATATTTATGGCAAACACAGATTTCGTGTCAGCGAGTTGCGTCGACATAAATTTGAAGTTATAAACAACGACGGCAGCAATTTGCATGGAATTTTATTTATAATCTTTCATTGTCTAGTGCAGATTGTTATCGATTGGAGTTGAACGTAAGACATTGTTGTTGAAGCAGCAGCAGTTTCAGCGGCTAACCACAACCGACCATAAAATGATGCACACGTTACGTCAAAGTGTTACAAAGTGTTAAAACACGCGTTACTTCAGCAACAACTCAAAGTTATTTTTTTCTCGTAAACTTTTGAACAGCAGATGGCGGTTGTAATTTTTTTAATTTTTCACGTCATTTCACTTTTCGCCGCAGAGATTTCTTTGTCTTCTATTTTTTCGTCATCGCCAAACAAAAGATAATTTCGCGCCATTTTTTACATCATTTTTCTTTTCAATAAGATTTTGTTGCTCTAAATTTTTCTAAAGTTACCGTTTGCTTGCCAGAAGGCAAAAATTTAAAA